CAAAATTAAACTAACTTAATATATACATTATACAATAATATAGGTATATAATACTTGTAATACGTACGTTATCGAGGAATTCAGACTTTGCTTCGCCAAATTGATAGTGCCGATTGTTTTGACGCAACTGCTGTAAAGAAGTACGATTCAAAACTATACAGGGTGCGGCAGTCAAACCTGCATTTTTAAAATAACCATAAAAAAGCACGGTGGCCTTTTCAAAATTTTATTGATACCATGTTAATTTACGTTAAAAAGCATTTAAGAAACATTACTCATTTAAAAATATCATTATTAAGATGTCTTCCATTTCGTTCGATGCATTCTTGAAGGCGATCTCTAAAATTGTTCATTACATCACGCAGCATCTGCTGGGGGATTATTTCGATTTCCTGACGGATTCTCGCCTTCAGTTCCTCAATAGTACGAGGCTGGGGTTCTTCAAAAACTTTGCTTTTTTGGTAGCTCCACAGGAAAAAATCACATGCAGTGAGGTCGGGTGACCAGGCGGGCCAAGAAATGGTTCTGTTCCGGGATATCACCTGGTTTGGGAAAACTTCGTTGAGGAGAGTCATGCTCACACGGGCCGTGTGGCTTGTGGCTCCATATTTTTGAAATAACGCTTCATAATTCAGTCCATGTTCGCGAAGACGAGGAATAAAGAATGTCCGTAACATTTCGGAGTAGAGCTCCGCATTCACGGTAAGAGCTTGTCCCCTATCATTTTCAAAAAAGAATGGGCCTATGATTCCCGTTGAAGACATTTTACTTTTGTAGCAAACTTTAATGGGGAGGTAAATTAATGTCGAAAAAAATATATAACCACAGCAGCAATACTCCAATTACTTACCAGATTGTTGCAACTCCGATGTTTTCTCATTTCTTATTTTCCGCGCTTTTTCCCTTTCTTTTCGCAATTTCGATCTTTCTTCTTTGGATGCTAATTTCATATCAATGCCCAACATTGAACCAGGCCGTCCTTTCTGACGCTGTTTTTCCAAGAATTCTTTGTCCTCTTTGTTTCTCATTGTCTTCAATGCATCGGCAGCCGCTATGTCAAAAAGATCGTCTAACACGTCCATGAAAACATTAAATTTTTGTTTCATTCCCGCTGCCATTTTCTCCACCTTCACTTTGTTAAAAGTTTTCCAATTTTCGTACATTTTCAGAAGCTTGCTGGCACATTTATGAGACTCACGGGTTGGTATACGCGCTTGTTGCCAAAATATTAAAGCGGCATCAATCGTCAACCTTGCACTCTCTTTTGAGGTTAGTCTCACGAAACGAATATTGTAGAAAAATACCTCCAAAACTTGTCTGTTTGACGGTAACTTGGCTCCCACAATTTGATGCGATACATGTCCAATAAAAGTAATTTGTCGTTGTTTTTCATCACCTTTTCGTGTTTTTTACCGTTTTATCGGTTGAATCTAATGCTTTTGCCATTTTTAAAGTAAAATAACTATTGATTAATTAACACGTTTTTTCTCAAAATTAATACGCCAACAAAAAGTCGCATAGAAGTTATGACTGCGCTGGATCGTCACGTGTTTACATGACAATTCTGCGCACGCTCAAACGTTGTGCGCGTACTCAATTAAATTAAAAATTATGTTCAAAATAATAATTTAAATGCATTCCTTTACAAAATAAACATTTTTCATACAGAAGCAATAAAAAACGTCAAATTTTCATATAACCAACTTTTAGGTCTTTAAATTATTTTCAGATCGGCTTCAAATTCCTACGTGCTTTTTTAAAGTAAAAAAGAAAATTTTTCAGCCCGGCGCTTATTGATATCAAGCGATGTTACAAAAATGGCCAGGCTAATATATATATATATATTGTTTTTAATGTATTGCCTAAAGGAGATTCTTCCTCTACATAGGACCATCGACTCGTCAAGTAAATTTTTGCCTCTTTATTTTTTTATTTAAATATTATAAGTGGCCTAATTTTGAAAAGCCTATCTGCAGGCACTGGTTCATTGGCCAGAGGATTTTTCGTGTAAAATAAAGGCATCTTAAAATTATCAAAAATCGGTCTCTGCTCATTGCCGACGTGAAAAAGGGCATACTGAAGTAGAAGTAAGGGCACTTTTTGGGGTAATTATTGTGATTGATTTATGACCCACCTTGACAGGTGTGTGTAATTAAGGGTTTGATTAGGTGTAATTGAAGTGCCGACCTTCGAGAAGGGTTTTGTCTTCGTAGGAAATAGATCTTAATTATCTCCAAATCATATCAAAAGCGGATTGATGTAGATCCAGCAAAGTTTGGTCAGGTGAAGTTAAATCCAGTTATATTCGAAATACATCGATAGGATCCGGCACTCAAAATACCATCAATTGCCAACAAACAACATTGCACGGTTCCTAATATGAATAAACATGTCTTATATCCCTTTAATAAGGTTTCACTTGGCAGAGCGAAAAATCGACCATGTTATTCTCTGGACAACCATCACAAGACAAACCTGCTTCCGGCTTCTACATTACTTTGTCCCCCTTCGAAAACCAGACCTGCGCACAACCATCCCAAAATGTCAAAATATGCTCTTAAATGCAAACTAACCATGTCAAATAAAAAAACAATTACTAAAAGTCTGACAACAATAAAAACTACCGATATTAAACAACATATAGCGGTAAAAAGGCTTGACAAAAGATCTTAAATTCAAATTAGGCACGAAAATTAAACCAATAAGAAAGCAACTACAACAGGTGCCGGATATGTGAACAGTGTTGCTCCGTACATTGCATCCTACACGAATCTGCCTAGTCCACGCTTTAAAATCGCTGAGCGATACACTTGGCAACCCCGCGATAAAACGCCGCCTAGTGTGGACCGTTCGATCTACCGTTACGTCAATACAAATGTCAACTAGTTTAAAGTAAGTAAACAATTAATAACTGAATAACTCTACCACCACAGTTCCAAAAGATGAAGGCTACATTAATATACACGCTTTTTGTTTTTAGGTATCATAAGCAGCACATAACTGCTGATCCCGCCAACAACTTTAGAACTAAGATTGCAAAGTCAAACATTCATTATTTAAGACATCCAAAAGCAATAAAACAAAGGTAAGTTAGGCACGTTGTCCAAAAAATATATATCACAAACCAAGTTTATAACGTAAGCCAACTATTATTAAATTCTATTACTTTTAGGTTATGCTGGACGAATGACAAGGTTATTATATATTTGTATTGTTGTTGATGTTGTTCAATAAAGTTTCAAGAATTAATAGATGTTTTAGTTGTCATGAGGAAGTCCTAAGGAAGTAAAATAAAATAACCAAGAGCAAGGCAAATTCACAAAACTACGATTACAATGCTCAACACTGAACCGTAGTATACATTATCTAAACAAAATAGGGTAAAGCACAATTTCTTGTGAAACAAAAATGGTAGTATTAAAATCCAAACCGTAAGGTTACACTTCGACAGGGTGCACTAATCGAAGAACAATATCTTCTGGAGAATTACTAACCTTGTATGGTCCGTCAGGTTGAGTGCCCACATAAGGTTCCAGATTAAAGGTATACGCAGTTTTTGCATCAACCAATGCGAACATCTTTACTCCGTATTTTGCTGGCTTGCTAGGTATGTATTGTTTAAAAAAACAGCGACCTCTAAAAGCTAATAACTGCTCATTAATTGTTAAAAATTCACTCGAAATAAAATTGTTTTGGAAATTAGCCACGAATGTTTCAAAAACTTCTCTAATATGAGCAAATTTATCGATTTCTCTTCTTCCATTTCTTGTCCTTAAATCATCAAACCTTAAGCTTCTTAGCAAAAATCTAAACCTCTTCTCACTTATTGCCAAATAACATAATTCTACACCGCTGCCTTTTGAATTGTCCCAAATTTTGTGAGCATTTTTTCTAGAACTTCTCAATGTTCCAATTAGAAACAAAATTCCAATAAACGCACTTATTTCTCTTTCGTCAGTAAATCTTACATCTCTATCTCTTTGAAAATTATTTCTGATTTTTTCAATATATATATTTGTTGAAACAGTCACTATTTGAATAATACTGTCAGTTAAAAAAAGCTTTATACAATCGATCTCCGAAATTGCACCTCGAGCGTTGTTCTTTGGTCCGGGTAATAGCTTTATAATATTGTGAGAACGAATACGCACTTGCAAATTAGGCCTATTTTTTCTCCACTTGGTTGTTTTGTCCTTGCCAAAGTAAAAATTGTTGCTGTTATATTCGCTTTCTGCAGATACGTCTGAGTCTTCATCAGAGGATAGTTCTTGCTCGGAGTTTGTTTGGTGATCGCTATTTTCTACTATGTTTTCTTCCAATTCATCTGTATCTTCTTCTTCTTCTAAAGGACTGTCCTCTTCACTTAAAATCTCATTATACCATTTCATCCATACGTTTGGATCCCTACTAGTTTCCAAACGAATTTTTTTTGGGTCGGACTTTTCTATCTGAAAAAAAATAACACCAATGCTAACTGCTTGTTTACAATTTTTTTTTCCGAACAACTACAAACATATTACTCTTTTTTTCAAAAGCTGTAACCCATCCCGTAAGCAACCAAAAAATAAACACAAAGTAATTGTTAGTTTACGCAAATACTGTATCGTATAATTTCGACATTTCGAATAGATACGTTTAGAACTGTGTAAATGCAAAATAATAACATTTCTAATTAACAAAAGTTTTTTGTTTATTATACACACAATAATTAAGTTTACTTAAAAAAAATAGAACTTACCTTAACTCATCAACAGCCAAATCTCTAAATTGTTTACTTAAACAAAAATGGTACGCAGTTGGGCGCGTGGATTACAGTCGTAGTCCAGTCGTCTTTCACAGCTGATAACTTATACAACTACACACTTCGACTCTTTATTTTACACTAAAAGGGTACTTCGGTGTATTACCGACAGCTATTCAAGCGCATGGCACCACCCACAAGCCAAGTTTTAATTGGTCACTGCTAAAAGATCTGTGGATTACAAATGTACTCCACGCGCCTAACGGAGGGTTAATCTGCTAAAAATATTATTTTGGCTAGTTCTGTTAATTCCACCAAAGTTGGTGTTACAGTTATCACCAGAAAATGAAATGCACTTTGTAGTAAGCTCAAGTTTTTCCAGTACGGAATATAAAAGGTCTGTAACAGTCTCCGATGTTTCGTTGTTTGAGCTACATATATCAATTAGTTTAATCTGTATGCCCCCCTTTTTAAAATCAAAATATTGGATTAATATAGGAAACATCTTAATTGCATTGTGGTTACTGGCATCTGTAGAAACTCCAATAAACGAAATACCACTAATCTGATTTGTGATAGCTTTTATGGTCGACGGTCCGAGTACTCCATTTACTATGGCTTCAACTTTCGTATGGCCGCAAGTCACTGATTTTAAAATTGATGATTCCTGATACATCTTCCTGTGGATATTAGTTGCACAATCCATTGAATTAAATGACTGGTGATGTTTGACTGTATGATATGCTAGTGTTGCTTCGGCTGCCTTAACAAGTTTTTCATTATCTTTACTTGTTGCCTTAACAAAAACGTCTAGTTTGGATGTGCCTAAAATTATAAAAAATATAATTTAGATTTTCTAGCAAACAATGCCATCATGTTCATGCCCAATGTAATTCTAAAGAATAAGAAAAGCTGGGTTTAAACAGAAAAATAAAATATATATGTATGTACAAACACCAACAGGGTTTGTCATAAGCTCAACTTCTCTTATTTTATTTTATGTTATTTTATTTTATTTTCTTTTATTTTTCTTTTTAAACCCAGCTTAACACTGTTAACTAGTTTCTTTGACCAGGCCCGGCTCCAGACATTTTGGTACCCCGTGCAAAAATATTTTTGCCCCCCTCATAGTTACCTACTTTTTAGTACCCATTAATTAGGTATAATTTCTAAAAAAAACTACCTAAATAATATCGTCCCCTTGATGCTACAATTGGATATCTGGAAAAACACATTTATAAATAAAATGTTCTAAAATTGGTATGTAAGTATTTAGTAGAACTGGATTCGTAAAATTTCGAGTTATCCAGTTGTAGCATTAAGGGGAAGATAAAATTAACAAGCAAGTTTAAACAAATATTATTTAATACAAATAAATAAATTATTATCGCATTTTAAAAAAACAGTAATATATTGTAATAATAATTATTTTATCTAACATTATTAAACTGACTAGTAGTAAAAATAAGAAAAATCTGATAACAAACAAAAGTTTAAGAAAAGGAATGCCTTCTGGATTTTGTTGAGCAAACGTTGAAATTAAATTGGAAATCTCTAATTTAGAACCTATATCGTGTTGAATTGAATAACTTTTTGCCGCCCTTCGATTTTTGCCGCCCCGTGCAGGGGCACGGCTGCACGTACCCTGGAGCCGGCCCTGTCTTTGATTTACCTGCCTGACTTTTTAAGTTTTTTTTATGTTTTCCAGTAGCTATATGGTCCTCAATGTATTTTTTGCCTTTGTGTGCAATGCTAAGATTTACACTGCATATCTTACACATTACTTCAAAAATCGACTTTCCCTTTTTAAAAGAAGGGAATGCATTAAGCATTTCATCCGAAACTACGCACTTAATTAACTCTGAAACTATATTGATGTACTATGTAAAAGCACAAACCACACAAAACACAATGCACTGACTGGACAAAACAAAAGCGTTCGGTTATAGAGGGGAATCCCCGAGTAAAATGCAAACCAAAAACACTCCATAGAGATGCGCGAAACGAAACGAAAATGCGCTTTTTAGAAATGTAAGCCAGTGGCAGCTTTGCCACCTTTTGCATTTAAAAAATCGGAACAGCTCTGGCTGGCGCATCCGCTGGTCAGTGGGTAAATTCTACCTAGCGCTTAAAATAAATTTATGAAATTTGCTGATGTAATGTTATTTTATTAAAAGAATGATTTTCAACAATAACCCGGACATTTTTTCGAAATCCGCCCGGACGTCCCCGGACGCCTTAAAAACCCAAACATGTCCGGGCAAATCCGGGGAGATGGAAACCCTACCAATGGGATATTTTTTATATTTATTTATAAAAGGATATGGAACAGACATCAAAATAGCAGATTTTTTGATCACCAATGTTTGATATTTTATGATGAAGTTTTACGGCATTTGTACGACCGCCAAAAAAGCTATCGCGAGGATTTAAGGGCTACTGAGAGTATTTTTTATAATTATTATTAACACAAGCTATAACGTATTCATCAGCAAAAGGGATGTCACTAGCGTATCGTTGTAAGCATGCGCAGTGGGCTCATTTTGGTCGTATGCTGACGTCACATATGGTCATGCGCAGAAAAAACATGTCCGCCAAAAAAAGTACATAATTGCGCATAATTAATATTAATTTTTATTTATTATGTAATACGCCAGTTTATATATATATATATATATATATATATATATACTTATTAAATTGCATGTACTTTTTCATCAATTTTCTAATTTCCTATATACAGGGTGTACCAGAAAATAAAATAAAAAAAGTTATATTTAAAATGTACCTAGGTATTTTATTTAGTATTTTAATTATTGTTATATTTACCTATATACAAAATAATTAAAACCTATTTACTAACTATAAATAAAACTACAAGACATTTTTTAAGCTTATATCCTAGACTAGTATACACAAAATAATTAATCTTACTTATTAACTCTAATTAAACTAAATGGTTATTATATTAGTACACAACACCATGTACTTCAATATAATCTTCTCGGGTATACAACAAACAATAAACATTCCCTGCAGAAATTGCATCAATTGGATGATTGCAAAAAAATATGTGGTAATTCATTTATATCCAAATACGAGTCCATTTGGTCATAATTCACGCACCTAAAATTTTTAAATTCTATGTACCTTATGCATTTGTTCTAACAATCGGCACATATGTTTCCATAATTGGTAACGAACTTTCTGTCCGTCACATGAAATTCAGTATCGTTTTTAAAAAAAATATATAAAATTCTTGTAATGCTCTCAACATTATTACGGCGTCCCCAGAAAGCTTTTAAACATATAGGTCGCCAACGTCCTCTAAGACTCTGCAGCCTAAAAACTTTTTTGCGAGGTGGTTTGTCTATTAATGGATACGCCTGTATACCATCATCCATACGCGAAGTCAGTAATTCCGCAATGAGCCCATCAGGAAGAACCGAAGTTCTAAAGTTAAAAATCGCTATATGTGGATACATTGTGTTGATCTTCTGTCTGCATAAAACACTTAACCCATTTATGGCCAAGTTATAAAGAAATAATAAAAAGCAATGTTTGTTGGAGATTTTATATTAAAACATAGTTTATGTGGTTGAAATTTTTTATACTTAAATTAAAATAGATATGGTATGGTGCGTAAACGCACCATTGGCTTAAACTAAGAACAACATTTTCAAAATAGACTATTTTTATTATTATTTTATCTATGAAAGATTTCAAAACAATCAGTATGTAAATGAACTTTGCATTTATCACATAGATAAATAGTATGATTTTTGCACTGCTTGCATCTCCTTCTTGCCTTTTCGGGATGTTTTATTATCACATGTCCCACTCTGTCGAGCCTAACTTCATCCACAACAGGTTCCCTTGGAGGTCTTCCGATAGCAGTTTTTTCTGCAGCGGCATCATCACTTTTCAAAAGTCTTACGGCTAAATAGGACTTAAATTGTAGCTGTGTCATATTGGTGATATTTACTTTACGGTAGAGCTTCCAGCAGTTGGTTATAGTGCTGTCTAAACTATTTATAAATAAGGGCCACCACCATTTTTTGCCTCTAATACTTGTCCTGTAATTAGCAATAGCATTATCGTGAAGATCAACCCCTCCCATGAAGGAATTGTATTGCTTTATCATATCTGGTTGTAAAATTTGAATATCTTTGCGTTCTTTTCGGTTATATCTCTTGGTATTTGCTAAAGGTTGCACAGAGAAATTATTACTAGCGACAGTAACAATAGAATTGTCGTTCCATCTGACAAGGCTTAATTGTATTTTTTCTTCGACTGCAAAATCATAGGCACCCCTTTCTTTTTTTCCAAAAGACTTGACATTTTCTAATGGGCACTTATTTGTCCTATTATCTCTAATCGTGCCTGTTGCAAAATATTGCATTTCAAACAATTTATGAAATAATTTATAGGATGAAAAATAGTTATCAAAAAAAATCCTGTGGTGCAGCGGATTTTCTAATGCGGTCAAAAGATCTAGTAGGTACTCCCAATCCATAAGGAGATTTTTCTTTCTCTGTGTTTGCTCCTCCGTACGGTATAAATGTGTAGAGGTATCCATCAGATGAACATAAACACCACAACTTGAATCCAAATCGAACGGGTTTTCCTTTTATAAACATCTTATATGAATGCCTACCAAAATATAGTACCATTTGTTCGTCAATAGCAAGTTTGTGCGAAAATATTCCAAATTGCTTATAACGAATGTTCATAGCATCAAAAAATGGCCGCATTTTGGCAAATTTATCAGTTTTGTTTAGATTTGCGTTGTCTGACAAATGTATGTTTCTTTTAATACTTCTAAATTTGTTTCTACTCATACATTTTCTTACAATATCAACTCCTTTGTCTTCATCTTTACTCCAGTAAAGATCAGTTTGTGGTAAAATATGATAACCAGAAAGTATTAGAATAACAAGAAATTTTTTCAGATCATTTTTGTTGAAGTCAAAGTCTAAACGATTATTGTCACGAGAATATTTTAGAGAAAACTCTACTATCATTGATATAATTTCTTCGTCAAAAAATAAGAAAAATATTTCTAATGGTGTTTTTCCTTCCAAAGAGTCCTGTAGATTTTGTAAGGTTTCAGCTTTATTTGATATAGGAGTAAGATCACGTCAAGTGGACCCCCCATTTACCTCTTGATCGTGGAATTCAAATAAATATATTTTAATATAAAGTAGTCACCATCAATAATAAAACCCTAAAACAGTTTTTTGAAATTTTCATTTTAACACCAATTTTTTTTACAATGAAAATTTTGGAGACTTTTAATTAAAAAATAGATAACAGAAAAACCGTTAGAGATATTTTAATAAAATTTTCAGGATTAATTGTTTAATATTCACATTTTGAAAAACAATTAAAAATTTTAAATTATTTATTTATTATCATATTTTTAATTAACTTTTAAATAAACAAATAAAAATTTTAATGACTTCTCCCTCAAATTATAAATTTGTTTTATTTCAGTTATATGCATTGTACACTGTAGTTAAATATTCTGCAAGAAAATTTCTCTGCCCGCTATTAGTTTAAACAATATGAATTAATTTATCCCCGAGCGCGATCGCTGTCGGTTCAGCGCGCTGCCGCGGCATGCCGCGCGCCGTAGACACGACCACCGCTCCAATTAGTATTTAAAGAAAATAAACTGTCTTTTACAATAAGAAACAATGTTTAAAAAAAAAATAATTTTTTTAATGTAATTTATAACAAATAGATACAATGCATGTAACTGAAAAAAACAAATTTATAATTTGAGGAAAAAGCCATTAAAATTTTCATTTGTTTTTTTAAAAGTTAATTAAAAATATCTCCAACGGTTTTTCTGTCATCTATTTTTTAATTAAAACTCTCCAAAATTTACATTGTAAAAAAAATGTTGAAAATTTTTAATGGCTTGTAAACTTAATTTGTTATTATTGTTTATATATAAAAAAGAAATAAATATAATTTAAAAAAACAATAAAAACAGTAGATATAATATCTATTTGTTATAATTATTACATTAAAAAAATTAAATTTGTTAAATAAAATGGTTTTCTATTGTCAACAACGACAGTTTATTATTTATTTTTTATTTAAAACTCTCCAAAATTTTCATTGTAAAAAAATTGTTGAAAATTGTGAATGGCTTGTAAACTTAATTTGTTATTATTGTTTATATATAAAAAAGAAATAAAGATAATTTAAAAAAACAATAAAAACAGTAGATATAATATCTATTTTTTATAATTATTACATTAAAAAAATTAAATTTGTTAAATAACATGGTTTTCTATTGTCAACAACGACAGTTTATTATTTATTAATACTGATTGGAGCGGATTTTCTGTCATGTATTTTTTAATTAAAACTCTCCAAAATTTTCATTGTAAAAAAATTGTTGAAAATGGTGAATGGCTTGTAAACTTAATTTGTTATTATTGTTTATATATAAAAAAGAAATAAAGATAATTTAAAAAAACAATAAAAACAGTGGATATAATATCTATTTGTTATAATTATTACATTAAAAAAATTAAATTTGTTAAATAACATGGTTTTCTATTGTCAACGACAGTTTATTATTTATTAATACTGATTGGAGCGGATGCCGAGTCTACGGCGCGCGGCAGCGCGCTATACCGAGAGCGCTCGCGCTCGGGAATAAATTCATATTGTTTAAACTAATAGCGAGCAGTGGAATTTTCTTGCAGAATATTTAACTACAGTGTACAATGCATATAACTGAAATAAAACAAATTTATAATTTGAGGGAGAAGTCATTAAAATTTTTATTTGTTTATTTAAAAGTTAATTAAAAATATGATAATAAATAAATAATTTAAAATTTTTAATTGTTTTTCAAAATGTGAATATTAAACAATAAATCCTGAAAATTTTATTAAAATATCTCTAACAGTTTTTCTGTTATCTATTTTTTAATTAAAAGTCTCCAAAATTTTCATTGTAAAAAAAATTGGTGTTAAAATGAAAATTTCAAAAAACTGTTTTAGGGTTTTATTATTGATGGTGACTACTTTATATTAAAATATATTTATTTGAATTCCACGATCAAGAGGTAAATGGGGGGTCCACTTGACGTGATCTTACTCATAGGTAAACGAGTGTGCATTATTTCTTTTTTTCCCACTTAATTTCTTTTGACTTATCCACCCGCATTTTTAAAAGCTTTCTTCTTTTTTTTAAAGATGCTCTTCGTCTGATTCCTCATATGAATTATAGTCATTTACAACATCTATTTTAAATGTTCCGGCAATTTCCCTGTCAAGTGGTATTTCATTCAATAATTCGTTTTCATCAATATTCTCCTCGTCTGTCAATTCATAAACCTCTGGTGGGATGTACACTGGGTTTAACCCATTAGGGGCCAAGCAGAGAAATAGTAAATTAATTTGAATTTTTTTTTATTGAAAAAGCTAAAATACATCTATATATTACAAAAAAAATATATATAATTTTTTTTGCATTGACAGGTGTCAAAAAAAAATGGTTCGTTTTCGAACCGTTGGCGATAATGAGGTATAAAAATAAGGTATCAATGTGATCTTATTATAATAATTATAATATGATTATATTAATTATTTATGAAAACTTTTAAAACATTTAGTATGTAAATGAACTTGGCTGAGGTATATTTACTTCTTTGTGATGTTTACGGTCGTATCTTTTTGTAGAGCCTAAGGGTTTGACAGGACAGTTATTGGAGATAACTGTTACCACTGAGTTATCATTCCACCTAACTATAGACACTTCAGCCTTTGTATCAAATACAAAATCGTATGATCCCCTCTCTTTTTTAGCAAGTAGTTTACTAGCCTCTAGGGGACACTTTTCGATTCGATTTTCTCGTATAGTTCCAGTTGCGTAAATTTTCCTTTCCTTCAAGATGTTGAACAGCTTATACGAAGAAAAAAAGTTGTCAAAAAAAAGCCTATGATTGCCGGGATTTTCTACGACACTTACTAATTTTAGAATAACGTCAGCTCCTAGGCCGAGATCTGATTTTGCAATTCTAGCACCACCGTAAGGGATAAACTGAAACAAATACCCATCAGACGAAGCAAGGCACCACAACTTATACCCAAAACGAACAGGTTTAGCCTTTATAAACATTTTTGCTGAATGCCTTCCAAAATAGGGTACCATTTGTTCGTCGATTGGCAGTTTTTTTGCAAAAACACCAAAATGCATAAATTTCTTATTCATCATGTCGAAAAAGGGCATAGTTTGGCAAATTTATCTGATTTGTCAAGCAAAGCATTATCACTGACGTGAATGTTTCTTTTGATAAGACGAAATTTATTTCTACTGATGCATTGCCTAACGAATGTGACTTCTTTATCATTGTCCTTGCTCCAATACATATCTATTTGAGGCAAGGTATGATATCCTGTAAAAATAAGTATACCTAGGAACCTTTTCAAAGCTGCATTAGTCAAAAAAAATCATGACGATTATTATCACGGGCGTATTTTAGGGAAAAGTCTCTAATAAGATTGTAAACTTCATCATCAAAGAAAAGCTGAAAGCATTCGTAGGGAGTTATTCCGGCCAGAGAATTCTCAATTTTTAGAGACATTTCAATTTCACATGATTGCGGTGATGATGAAAATGTTGGATGAGTTTTTTTCTTCCACTTTGAAGAACAAGGTCTAACCTTTTTACACGATTTACTCGTTGACGCAAGCGTTGACGGCTCCAAATCTTCTGTGATGTCCGTACACGTGTCTTTGGTAGAACCTCAAAAGTACCGGCATTTTCTCGAATATCATGGTCACCTAAATGATCGCACGATATATCGTGCAAATATTACTATAGTAATCAAAAACAATACAAAAATAATGAATATGTTATGACGTCATCATCAATAAATTCTTCGTCTGTTAATTCGTCGCAGTCTGGTGGTAATATGCCACATTTAAGACCCCGTCATCACTTAGACTTTAAAGCTCGGCTTCTAACTCCAATAACGTTAGAGCCCTTTTCGGATTATTTACCAACTTCGACATATTTTTAAAAACACTATTACAACACTGGATACAAACTAAACGCACAATCAAATACTCAAAAAACCGCTGACAAGTGTGAAATAAGGTGTCTGTTTTCGAACCGGACCGGAACGGACCGAACCGAACGCGACGTGAACCAATCAAATAAGCCATAGCTGCCAACGGTTCGTTTTCGAACCATTATTTTTGAAGAAGGCTTTTGGCGGTACGAATTATTTTTATTGATATGTTTATCCTCATTTACTAATCCATAGTCCAAAAGCAATTAGTATTGAATGAATTTTGCACCAAAAGTAATTTATCAATAAAAATAACACACCAAAACTAAAGCCTCGTCAAATCGTCGCCTATGTCGAATATTTAGCAATAGTTTTTGAATATAAAAAATAAATTTAAAATTAAAGAAAAATTATATATTATTAGAATAATGACTTGTATATTGACAAAAAATACCAACTTTTTGAAAGCATTACTGTGTCAATGAAAAAAAAAATGTTTTAGTAAATGGTGCGTTTTCGCACCGTTGGCGCTAAATGGGTTAATACCCCTATTTCCGAAGAAAAAAAAACGTTAAACGCTACCACAACCATAACATAAAAGTGTATCACTTACCAAGATCATATTCCACTTCATTTATAATGTCCTCCATTGCGTCTTCCAATTCTCTTTGCGTCAAAAACTTTCTTCCTGCCATTTTATTAGAAATCTGCCGTTTGCACTTTGCACTATAAATTCAAACGTAACCGTTTAGCAACTGGTAAAACTAAGTAAAGAGGCGACACATTGATTGATGCACTTGCGCCGTTTGTATGTTTACTTTCCGTTCCTTTATTGGGCCAATGGTGCGTATACGCACCACTTCTATGTTTAGTCAAGTTTATTGTTTTTGGAAATTATCTGAGTCAATACAAGTATACCACATTACTTTAGAGTACTTTAGTATACATATCAGACATATAAACACGAAATATATAATCAGTAAATATTTTTTATCCCCTAGTGTTTATAGGTCTGCTGCGTCAGTAAAAATTAACATAATTTGGTACGTTTAAAAAAATATTTATCAAAGAAAAAAAACAAGTGAGAATGAAAAATATGTTTGTTAAAACTTACTTTTTTGATAGAAAACTCACGATATAAAAAATATTGCGAAACACAACCTTTAAAAAATATTTAGTAGGTTGGTGCGTACACGCACCAATGGCAAAAAATGGGTTAAATTTGCTGGCGAAGAGGTTATCGTTTTGTTTTTTAATAAACTTTATATTTATCGAATACGCATTAATAATTTTCAACTAAGTTTTTTTATAAAACAGATATTTAAATATCCCTAAAATATTCTAACATCCCCTCCAGATACATGGTAAAAAACCATTGACTATATTAGAAAAATAGAGAGGGTATCTGTGTGAAATAATAGGCAGAAATAACTCTGCATATTTTTAAAATATTAAGGTATCAATTTACTTTTAAGCCAAAACTAAAGACCACCCATATAAGGGAAACATTAATTTTTATTACAAAAACATCTTGTAATTTTTCTAGGTCTGCCCTTAAGTGTGAAATCTAATCTGGTATAATTAAATTTTATGGCTAAATCTAAAATGCCTTTTAAATAATAAGACCACCCCTATGTAACATCTTGTAACTTTACAGATACGCCCTTAACGTAAACGTAATCTGACCTAGACCAATTAAATTGAATGACTAAAAGGAAATCGTATATTAAATAAAAAGTCTTTTTTTTAATTGATTTAAATTTAATTTATCATTTAAAAACATCTTTATAAAACAAAAAACGGTCATACTCACTTACATTAAATTAAATTAAAAAAAAAACAGTATTAATAAATATTTTTTAGTAGACAAAAAATGTTTTACAAAACTTTATAGAAATCACATACCTAGTTTTGTTTAGAATTAGTAAATAAGCTTAATTATAAAATACGTACGTAATTTCATTTAAATATAGAATTTATTTTAATTTTAGTCAGTCCTTTCAAAACATTCAGAGGTTAAACTTTAAAATGGATTTATATTTCTATTTAACTTTATTACCAATTAGGTAGGTACTTATCAATGATGTTATCACTACTGCGCAATGTAAATGTAAGTTATGTAAAATTATCCTAACCACTCAAACAAATTGCAGTAATTTCGCCCACTAAATATAACTCGTGGTATGATTAATTATAATTATCGATGATAATATCATAATATTATTTACTCATTGAAACCGAAGCAGCACATTTCACTCGTCCTGTAGCTCGGTTTCAATTCGAAAATATCATCGATGATAATCATACACCTTGTTATATTATGGGTGAGAATAAAATTAGTTACATATCAGTTAAAGAATATATATACGTATATATATATATATACACGTATTCATATAAAGGTGAGATCCTGATAAACCCTAGGCAACCTGAGATCCACTTAAAATATAGCATATTAGAAAAAACCAATATTACAAAATTAACTAAAACAATATTGTTAGCAAGTACACCAACAGAGGGGAAACATTTTTTGCAATTAAATAATACACCAAGTATATAACACAACACGAGATCCTTTAAAAAGTTAGTGATAGACGAGATCCGCCCTTGTATAAGTTGATATTATAACATTAAGCTGAGGTCCAACAGTGTTGCCAGTGTTTATTCTGTCACTGGAGGATATTTTTATGGCGTTGCCGCCTAACCATGAGTCAACAATGATATGATATCGCCCCAACAACTAGATAACTTGAAACTCGAGTTTTGAGAAAATCCACTTTAAAGATTTAAGGGTGGAACACAATGGACGGCGTTCGACGGCGTCAAACGCAACGCAAACGCGACGCAACGTTTTGAAATCTTGGCTGCATACAATGACGGTGTTGAACGTCGTTGAGTGACATTTATTTGACAGTAAATCTGACAGATGGTGGTTATCTAACCTAAAATATAATTGCAAAAACGAGATTATTTGTTTTGTTTGTGGGTGTTAAGAATTTTTAATTTATAATGAATGATGACGAAATGGTAGTAGTTATGTTCCAAATACTTTTTTTGACTTATTCTTATCGTCCAAGACGATGGTGGGTGAGAGAAATATACCAAGATCGAGATGAATCTGGATACTTTAATAAAATGTACAAAAAAATGAAAGAGCGTGACCCGGAACAGTTTTTTAAACACACAAGGATGGACAGAGATGTTTACGATTTATTATTGTCCCTACTCAAAGAAAAGTTGACAAAATCATCAATCAGAACTCCAATTAACTTCGAATGCCGTTTGGCAGTAACATTAACGTAATTTTTAATATTAGGATAATGTTCATTTCCACCAAATAGCAGATTTTTTCAGATACTTATCACAAGGAGTGTCTCATCAATTTTTGGCATGGAGTTTCCAAATGGGCAAATCCACAGTTCGAAAAATTATATTGGAAACTTGTGAGGCACTTTGGGAAGTTTTGTCACCACTGTATGTTAGTCCTCCAAATAATAAAGATTTTAAAAAAATATCTCATGATTTTTGGGAGAAATGGAATATGCCTAATTGTGTTGGTGCCATTGATGGGAAGCACATAGAGATTGAATGTCCTTTAAAGAGCGGCTCAATGTTCTTTAACTATAAAAAAACATTCAGTATAGTCCTTATGGCAATTTGTGATGCCAAATATTGTTTTACACATGTAGATGTAGGCGCATATGGGAGCCAAAGTGATGGAGGTTTGTGCATCCAGCTTTTGAACAATATCTGTTTTGCTTTAATACTGTTTTTATTGTAGGAATATTAAACAATTCTCCAGTAGGCAAGGCATTATTAAGTAGACAATTACCATTGCCAAGAGACAGAGATTTACCTGGGTCCAGAAAAAAGTTTCCATATTACTTTGTTGGGGATGCTGCTTTCCCTTTAAAACCGCACATCATGAGACCATTTCCAGGTCATCTTTTGAATGAAAAGAAACGTATTTTTAATTATCGGTTGTCTAGAGCAAGGCGCATAATTGAAAATAGCTTTGGAATTCTGGTAGCAAGATGGAGAATTTTGAAAACATCAATAAAGTGTTTTCCAAACAACGCTGAAAAAATTACTTTGGCCTGCATTGCATTGCATAATTTCATAATGTTAAATTCTAAGAGCCAAACCTACATGCCGCCTAACTACATTGATTGGGAAGATGATGATGGTAATATTCAATTGGGAAAATGGAGACAAGAGACAGGTCCACTTCGTCAGGCACGTTTTGGATCCAATAATGCAGCACGTAGTGCATTTGAATTAAGAGAAAATCTTGCTGATTATTTCTTGGCCGAAGGTGCAGTTCCGTTTCAATACAACAGATCTTAAGCTGAAGCACTAGTTTTAAAGTTTTAATTGATGAGTAAAAAATGCTATATTTTTCAATAAAGTTTACTTAATACAATAAATTTATTATTTCACACTAGCAAAGTAATTACCTAGAAATTTATCTACTTACTAAGAATAATATCCCCTACAGCACAACAAATTGCTGCTATGTTGCAGCAATATTGTTACATTGCAGTAGCTGGGCAACATTGCAAAAACATAACTGAAATCTTAAGGTTGCTGCAGTATTGCACGACAACTTAAGATTTCAGTTATGTTGTTGGAATGTTGCCGAGCAACTGCAATGTAGCAATATTGCTGCAACGTTGCAGCAATATGTTGTGATGTAGGGGGTGTTATAAGGGAATAAAAGAAAATTTAAATTGGATTTTTTTGTAATTTTTTAATATGAAAAAAAATATAAAATGATTTTGCTTCTTCAAAAAAATGAGTTTTTCATTAAAAAATCAGAATGTATATACAGGGTGTTAATAAATTAGGCAAACATAAAAATGCTTCAAGAAAGAAGTATGATTATAAATCAAAATTATTTATAATTTAAAATAAAGGCAAAATACTAAATTTGAATAACAATTTTAATATTTTTCATGTAGAATAATCATAGTTGTTTTGTGCGATTATTTGTTGTAGCTGTAGTGTCAACGCAATGCACATACAGACAGACTTTAACACTTACCAAATCAGCTATCTTGATTTTTTGTTACAGCAAATAATAGTACAAAACCACCATGACTATTTCGTATGAAAAAAAAAAATGGAAATTTTATTACAAATTTTGTATTTAGTCTTTATTTTAAATTATAAATGACGTTTTATAAAAAACAATAATAAGACTTCTTTCTTGAAGCATTTTTATCTTTGCCTAATTTATTAACAACCTGTATATCCAATCTTATTTTTTTAAAATAAAGGTTTACTGTACAGTAACGTTAAATTTTAATTCAGTTTATTTAATTCGTCTTCTTCTAATGATACCAAATATTTCATGATTTCCACCCTTGCTTGTTTTTGGTGCCTTTCAGTAAGGTTATCAAACATATTAGCCACTAATTGGGCAAATTTCTCGCCAGATGTTTGGACTGGAGGAGGGGTAATTTTTGATTTAACAAATTCCTGAAAAGAAGCCACTCCTTCAGTAAATGCTCGGTTTACCTCCTCCAGTCTTGTTTTTTTTTTTTTGAGTACCCGACGTACTTGGGGTTGACAAACCACTAGAGCTGTAGGAAGGGGATTCACAAGTTTCCTCAAATTCTAGTTGCCCTGTTGCCTCCTCCATCGTTTCCTCTTCCGTTTCTGGCCTTTCAGAAACGACCTCTGGGTTCATGTT